ATTCTTTTAAGCCGTATAAAGCTCTATTCAATTTTAATACTCTTGAGTTTTTTATGGTAAGTCCTTCTGGTGCATAAATATAGACATCATTCTCAAGTAATCCATTTAAAAATGCAGTTGGAATATCCATTTGTCTGATTTTCCAATCATTTTGTAATGCTATTGATAAAAATAGTTTAATTGTTGATGTTCTTGCTACTGGTGAGTAATTTGGTTCAAATTCACTCTCCTCCTTAATTTGAAAACCTTTGGCTACTATTCTGGCTTTTTTAGTTCCATCATCCTTTGTTCTAAAAACCCATTTTGTTTGAATAGCTTTTTTATGTTTAGGTAATTCTACTTCTGCCCATGTACTTAGCTTTTCATGTGAAAGTAGCTCTTTTCTTATGGATTCTACCCATTCAGGATCTTTTATGGCATCTTCATAGCATAAAGGATCATTTTCTTCTGTTGATATTAAACAATAAGCTGTATAAGTCTCATATTCACTTAAATATTTGGGTGCTTTTATTTTTCTTCCTGTTTTTGTTGTTTCTATCTTTGGCATGCATTCTTCATAATTTTCTGAACTTATATTCTCCGTTTCATCTTCATTAGCTTCATTTAAATCATCATCTTGAATTTCTATCTCTATATCATTTATTCCCCCTTGCAGTTCATTTTCATACTGTACTTCTATTGTTTTCTTATTTGTATCATCCATCATATTGGTCTTAGTGATTTCATCATAATTAGTTAAAGTTTCATCAAATCTCACATCTCTTGAACAAAAAATTTCATTAGTTTCATAATTCCACAATCTATATCCAGCTCCTGTATATCCTATCATTATGCAAGGTTGTGCCCTTCTTTCTAATTTGCTTTGTTTTGGTAAGACTACTGCCCATGCCTTACTTCCAAATACTTTCATTTTTGATAAATCATTTTTATGGTACCATCTTGTGGCAGGTGTTTCACCATTGTTTGCTTTAGTAGGTGTTCTATTTAATTCATATGCTGAGCACAGAATTGCTTCCCCCCATAACTCTCTTGGTAGATTAGTTTCAGCAAATTTGGTCCTTACTTTGTCTAATAAGCTTCTGTTCATTCTCTCTGAAATCCCATTTTCTTGTGGAGTATATGGCATTGTATATTCCACTTTAATACCTTTATTTTTACAAAAATCTCTAAATGCATTAGATGTAAATTCACCACCATTATCAACTCTAATTCTTTGCGTTTTTAGATTATGCTGAGTTTTAATTAACTTAATAAACTGAATAATATTTTGATCAGCTTCATGTTTATTTTTTAATAATCTTACTACTAAAAAATGTGAGTAATCATCTATTAATACTTGAAAGTATTTATAACCTTCAGATGTTGGTGTAGATATTGGACCTGAAATATCTGAGTGTATCAACTGACCAATTTTTGTTGTGTATTTAAAACATTTATAAAATGGTTTACGAGTACTTTTACCTTCCATACAATCTTTACAAATTTCTGAACTATAAGGTAGTCCTAATATTTTTAAATTGTGCCTATTTATGTGTCCTAATCTCCTATGCCATAAATTATCATCTATAGTCTCATTTACATAACTTACTATATGGTTTGTCTCATTACAATAATTATTTTTATTATTAACAAAATCTACCTTTAAACAAAATAAATTATTCAACATTTCACACTGAAATTTTGATCCATTTTTATTTATTATAGCTTGTCTTTTACCATTAATATCATTAACAAATGTTACTTTAAAACCTTTTTCTAATAATTTAGATACAGAAATGAGGTTATGTGATATACCTTTAACAATAAGTGCTTCTATTTTAATATCTCGTCCTTGACATGTAGCTTTTACTGTACCTACCTTATTTGCTATCAATACCTCACCATTCTTTGCAGTTCCAATTTTCACTGTGTTGATTTGTTTTACATCTACCATATATTCAACCATTTCTTCCATTACCATGTGTTGTGTACATCCAGAATCCAGAATGAATGTCTGTACATTGAGAGTAGATATGTTACACGTAGTTACACCACTTAATGCAATGAAGGCTAATTCATTTGCTTGATTCGCCTGTGATTGCTTACCACCTTGATTTCGTCTACTATGATTTGTACCACTTTGTATATATGTACTTCTTGAATGCCCTTGAAAGTTGCCTCTTGGATTGTGACCTCTATTCCCACTTTTGAATTGGCGACACTCTGATATCTTATGTCCTGGTTTGTGACATTTATAACAAATTATTGGCTGATTGGCTTGAAATGACATTTCATTAATATTAGCTGGTTTACCTTGTTTTGATTTAAGTTTCATTTCTTCATCTAATAGTCTGGATTTTACAAAGTCCATTTTAATAGTTGTATTCATTGTTTCTATAGCTGTGATGAACTGATTCATACTCTTCATTTAATGATAGTAATAAATGGCATACTTTGTCTTCTTCTTCTAGTTTTGAACCAGCATTTTCTAAATCTCTTATAAGGGTGTCAAACAACAGAAAATGATCTTCTAATTTTTCATTTCTTTTCAGCTTCAATGTTAACAATTTACGTTTCAATGTTAATTTTGTAAACACACTTTTTCTCTCGAATATATTCTCTAGGGCTTTAACCATTTCTTTTGTGGTATTTGCATCTTTAACTAAATCCAAGTGTTTGTCTGTTAAACATTGTACTATGATACTTTTACCTTTGGAATCTTTTAGTTTAAACTCTGCTTTCTCTTTTGGTTCACTGTAGTCTTGCTCAGTTTTCTCCAATACATCTAATAATTGTCTTTCTTCCAGTAGTATGGTTACTCTGAATTTCCAATTGTTAAAATTTGTAGCATTTGTCAGCTGAGGAACATTGACTATTGCATTAGCCATTTTATATTTCACACTTTCTTTTATGCTTCTTTATTTTTTGTCTGTCTGGGTGCCCATAACCTATTAGAATTTGTTGTTTCCCAGTGAGGTAATACAGAGATAGCAGTGAATTATTTGATTACTTTATTTTACAAAAGTACTAAAAACTAAACATGTGCTACATTCTACAAAATATATTTTACAACTGACATATGACAACCGGAATCACTTAAGACATTGTGAGCCAGTGTTGCCAAGTACAAAATTCCAATATCCTTTGGTTGAATAGCCATAAAATCATATATGAAAGATTCTTCGACATCTGAGGGAGGTAAAAATGGCAGCCCAAAAATATATTTCAGCTATTTAGATATTTCACTGTCTGCCAAATTATATTCCCGAATTAAGCCACAACCACCGATATTACGATACTAAGGTTGCATAAGATGAAAACGGCACCCTTTAATGTGCACATTTGGAAATTCAAAACGCGCAGCATTGTGGATAGCAATTTCAAAATCGTAGAAAATGATTTTTGGATTGAATTTTAGACCAATTACTTCACATTTGCTTTTCAAAACATTAAATAGTTTTATATAGGTTTGTTCCGATTTGTCGGGAAGTAAACAATAACACAATGGTATATAATGTCCATTGATAAATACATGCATGGAAAAAAATTGCTTGAAATGTTGAGCACAGTAACTAAATGTACCGTCCATATAAATCGTTTCACTGCCGCACAGAAAACGCATGTTAGTGTTACACGAGAAGATGATAATGTTAGAACTTAGTTTAACCGCAAATATAAAATTCTCGTCTTTAAGTGTTTTGATATTCATAATATTTACCGCAGCAATAGTTTCTTCTTTACTTTTGGGCAGTTTCGGTTGAGCCATTCGCCGTTCACTGTATATTTGATTTCGTATTAAATTAACGTCTTTAACAGACATGTGGTTCAAGCAATCTACATTTTCTTTCAACGCACTATGTATGATTTTGAACGGCCTTTTGGTCAAATTATCCTTAGCCTTCCTTTTGGCACTGCTACGCACAATCTGTCTATTAAGCGTCTTGATATCAGACTCGTGATTATGTTCTAGATTACTTCGCATCACTTTTCTGACCCTTTCGTGAATATCTTCGCTTTACACGACCGTTTTACGCACCTCCAATACGTTTCTCCCGATTTTAGTACTTCATCTTAAAAAAAAGTAAAACTGTTCACTTTGAGCAAAATTTTACCACGAATACTTACTAACGTTGAAATTTCCATGTTCACTTTTCACTATTCTCTGACAAACTAATAACTAGTAACTAAGTAAATTTCAATGACCATCATTAAACCCTAATTATATCTAATATCTGGTACCTGCAATAATCCTTCCGTCAGCGTCCAAAACAAGGGTACTTTTAAGACCCTCAGGTACTTCAGCGTCGAAAACATGCCCGCCCCTAATAACTAGTAACTAAGTAAATTTGCATGACCATCATTAAACCCTAATTATATCTAATATCTGGTACCTGCGATAATCCTTCCAGCAGCGTCCAAAACAAGGATACTTTTAAGACACTCAGGTACTTCAGCGTCGAAAACATGCCCGCCCTTTCTTTTACTCCTCTTGTTATTGAACATTATTGAAGACTAAGGTATTTTTTTAACTCTAATAGGAACCCTGAGATAAGAAAACATGAAAAAAAATTGGCGTCGTGAATAAAATTTATTTACATATTTGTAATAAAATTCATTATATAATTATAAATAATTTTTGTTTTAACTAATTGGATCATAATTAATTTAATTATTGTTTTATCCTATTTCAAAATTACAATATCATATTAATATATGTATATATATATATATATATATATATATATATATAATATATATATATATATATATATATATATTATATATATATATATAATATATATATATATATATATATATATATATATATATATATATAACCTATATTTATAGTAGCTTAACTCTTATTTATGTATGACGGAATTAAATAAAATATTTTGATTGTTAATATTATATTATCTGTAACTAATAAGTTGATGACTATCTAATCTGAACTACAGGTGTAGATGTTAAAAAAATTCTGAAATTTTGCATATATTTATACTATATATTACAACGTTAACTTCAGAGTTGGTTAGTTTCGATTATTGTCATTCGCCAAAATGAATATTTTTAAAGAACATAGGGCGTTAGTGGACGGTATTGCTAGTGAAAATGGATTTACTGATTATGAAATAATAACTAGCTCTGGATCGAACAAAGGCGATAACTTTCTAGGAGTCCTTAGTGCCATTACCATTAAGAACAAGGAAAAAAGTTTGGACTTGATTTTGAAGGCTTCCCAAACCAATAAAGAGGATAGAGAATCTACACCTTATAGAAATCTGTATAATAGAGAAATATATTTGTACGAAAAGATTTTTAAGGAGTTTAAGAAGTTTCAAGAAGAACACAACATTGAAGGTAAACCACAATAATTTTCTTTAATATTAAGTATGTAAAATCTAAATAATTTTTAAAAAAATTCTAATCTACTATCCATCTTATACCCATAAATAACTTAACTTGTTTTCCTTGTACTTTTTATTATCGGACAGAATCATTAAGGTCTTATTTACAGCGATTAACAACTTGCAGCTAGCAAATAATTATCTTTTAATTTTTTGTAATTCTTATCATATGGAAATATTTTTTAAATTATAATAATTTTATTGATAAATTTTATTTGTTTTTGATTTGCCTTGAATAAATTAAAACTACATATTTCACAGTCCTTACATTTACATCTTCTTTTCCTTCTTCTTTACGTTTCTCTTCTTTTAACTTCTTGTAACATTTTTTTTATTATTAATATATTAAATATTTCTAATTCCTTTACCCCCGTGCGATACGCCTATGATCGTGTATCGATAGCAAAATATTGTAGATACCCAGCTAAAATGGAATTCCCTAATTAGGAATGGTTTTTAATCCTTCCGTCTTAATACTCTGTATGAAAAGAACAAATGCTTTCCGGTATGCAGTTTCGTATCTTTTGACAATAATATAATCCTAAGGATTTTAATATTCTCAGGTCCAATTGTTAATACCGATTATTTTACCTCAAATTTTCCAATAGTCGTTAAGGCCTTACCTTCTGAGAAACACATACAACTGTCCTATCATTCTTGAGTGGGGGAATATTTTCTTCTTCCTTTTTCAGGGACAGTTGGTGAAATTTTTAGTGGAACCAATTTACTTCTCGGTGGGCTCTCGTTGAGCACAGGTCAAATATCTCGTGAGACTTGTTGGTGGGCCGTTGTTGAGTTAAGGCCAATATCTCGTGTTACGCTTTGCTCACTTTATTTCTTATCGTATCGTCTTTGTGAATTATTTTCTAAGTGTGTATACACTTTATATTTGAGTTTTCTTTCCTTAGACTATATTAAATTATATATAGTTCTACACTACCTTTAATGGTTATTAAATTCAGTGTTTAGTACCAGAAAAGTATTAAATTCAGTGAATTAAGCTGCCTTCGTCAAGATCTACTGTAAGTAATTTTATCTACAATTATCTGGGCGAGTAATATGGTATGGTACCATATCACCTGCCATTATCTGGACGTATCATCTATATCTTCACCTGAAGATTGCCGATTTTTGAATGTAATTGAACCATTCAAGAAATTTCTATAAATATTACCTATGAACATACAAGTCTCAGTTTTTTATTAAATAATAGTGCGAGATAGTTAATTGACTTAGCCAAGTGCGGTTTGGTTTATGTTTTCATTCTTGTAACCTTTTTGTTTTTTTTTTGTAAATTTAGAGTTAAGTAATTTTTGCTATCTTTGTATTTCCTATAATTTTTGTTCATTATCTTTCCTATGATATCTCGAGATACGCCAAACTATATTTGTACATGATTGCCTTATACATCTTGGTAAAGGTATTTTTTATTACTTATATCTTATATTATATAGCTATAATATATATATATATAATATATAACACCATTTCATAGTTGTGTATTTTTATTACCTGGGTTGCATTTAGCAGCATCATAATTTTGTGTTTAATATATTGTTATTGTTTTATGCATGTATTTTATTTGTCGGCTCCTAACAAGTTCCCTGATAAAATAATAGCTCTGAACAATTACTATCTTTAAATATTACTATGCTTTTGAACTGTAGAAAGATCAGGCTGATTAAGTTTCGTAGGTAAGTAAGTGTAATACTTAATATATTTATTATTTGTTTATATATTGCGTTGACCAGATTTATTTGATAATTTACTGTTGGTATCTTTCCTTGGGTTTGATCTCTGAACCTAAATATCTTTTCTTATCTCTTTTCTTTTCTAAGGTTTTCTTAATTTTCTCCTTAACCCCAAAAAATTGAGTGGCGCCCTGTTTCTATCTTCTCTTATCTTTGGTAATTTTACCCATCTATCTTTTTGTTTATTTCTGTATCTTTTCTAATATCTCTTATCCTATCTTTACCTATTTCTTCCGTTGGATCCATTCCCGGTTCCAAAAGCTAGTTTCGAACCCACGACTCGCTCTCCACCAACCATCTGGCTGCCGTCCGCAGTGTCTCCATTGGTTATCTTTCTAGCACCACCCAAAAAAGATTTCCGAGGTTACATTCTTATTAGATAATTCTACCTTCATCTTGTATATTTACTCACATCTTTTGCTTAGTTCGGTCAATGTACGAGTTACTTTCTAGTATTGCACTTTATGTTTTGGCTAATAATATAGCTGCACCACGTTGAGCCCTTTCGTTTTGATCTACTTCACTACACATGATTGTTATTGCCGAAACTTATAGTTTCCAGAAGTTTATGTCGGTTTATACCCCAATTAATGCAGGAAAAAATATGAAAAAATCTTATACAGACATTTAAAGTTCTAATATTATATAAGGATTAGCTGATGATAAATACGTGAAGACATACACCTAATTTTGTTTTTTCTTAACAATTTTAAAAAGTAAAAAACATAGTTTTTTTGCCTATAGTTATATACTTAATTATACGTTCTAGAGATAAATAGTAAAGCTGAGACAGTATCTTTTAAGCAGTTTTTAAGTGGGGGGAAGTAGACGTATGAAGCAGATGGTTTGCAGTTGCAGGTTACATCGTTTTGCTTTCTTACAAGTTCAGTTTGGTAAATTAAGTAAATCTAACTTACAAAATGGGGCAAAAGAACATATCGATTACAAATTAAAAACTAACAAAAACATATATGTTAGGCATATTACCATAAAAGTGCATAAACTTGCATTTAAAAAAGATACATATCAAAAACATTAAAGTTTTATAAAAATTAATCGTTTAGAAACACCAAAAAAAGTAAACAGCCAGTTTAAAAAGGAAAATAAATAGGTAAATATTAGTATAAATAATGGATACAAAAAGTGCAAAAGAAGATACATTTTCATGGTTTTTAAATAAGTTTAATAAATTAAAAAAAAAAATAAAACCACTTTTGTTATTATTACATTAGGATAAGCCACAATTCCTGATGATATTGTTTTCTTTAACGTCTTTAATGTAAAACAAATCATTTATGATTTGTTGCTGTTTTATATAAATTTTAATATAATATCTACTGTCTGAACCGCATAATCTTCGGATTTTTGATTATTCCTGTCGTTGACTCTTTGGCATATTTTTTATAGGTACTTCTAATCTAATCATTTACCAAAAAGCCGTATTAAGGCACTTCTTCTGCCTTAATTTCACCTTTTATTTCAACCAAATATTAAACATCTTTTTCAATCTAGATTAGGAAAGAAACTAAATAAGATGGAAAGAAATATGGATGTAGAACAAGAGTAAAACAAGAAATATGGATGTAGAACAAGAATAAAACAACATCGAAACGATAATAAAAAAAATTGCTTATGAAGTATTAGGAAGCAGGAACAACGACAAAAAACACCACGAACCACCATGGATGACAGAAAACATAAAAGAAATTTTTAAAATATATAAGAAAAATCCAAAAAACAATTTCTGGGACCAAAAATTTCTCCAAGTTGTAAAGTGAATTGGTGGTTCTCAGACTACGGAAGCATGGAGAACTATCACTAATCTAAAGAAAAACACCCATAACTTCTTAAGCAACCTAATTCCTATAGAAAAGTGGTAGTTTTCCTATAGAAAATTTACTCCAAGAGTCCAGATTGGAATATAAGGGAGAGGAATGCAGTAAGGAGAAACAAACAAATAGTAACATTAATACTACTAACAACGAGGTCCTTACTGCGTTAATTAAAGTAAAAAACGGGCGATTTTCAGGACCTGGCAATATAGCTGTACAGTTACTTAGAGGTCCACTCCTAATAGAACGAATCAATGCTGCCAACAAATTAAAGTACCATCTGAATGGAAAACCGCTCACCAATTGTCCGTCTTTAAAAAGGGTAATCTAAAAGATCCTAACTGCTACAGAGGATTAAGTGCCCTACCTACCTTCGGAAGAGTGTTTGGAAAGATAATAAATGGAAAAACACAAGATGATGTAGGACATATAATAAGTGAAGACCAAAGTGGATTTACGCTTTTTAGATCTTGCACCGTCGGTCAGATAGCTCAGCGGGCTGTGCGGCTGCCTCTCATTCGCTTCACTGTCGAATGGTTCAGTGGATGTGGGTCGAGCCCAGCTCGGTGTACGGAAAACAAAAAGTCTAACGCAGCAGTTTAAAATTCTAGATGAATCTGTGGCTTAGACTAGGATATGCTGGATCTGATCGGCCTATGGTGGAGCAGTACGGCAAGAGATAAGGCTTGCGGCTCGGTGATACTCCTCCATAGATCCCTACCGGATGGGCGTAACGCCTAAAAAACCGGATAATATATATATATAATATATATATATAATATATATATATAGTATATATATATATAGCTATATATGTATATATATATTAATATATATATAGATCTTGCACTAATAATTTGTTTACACTCCAATAATTAATAGAAAAAAAATAGCAAATACTTTTAGTGACATTTGTTCTCCTTAGCACATGCCATCAGGAGGGTTGGCAAACAAATATTCCCTGATTAATATACAAAAAATTACACAAAGGCTTATTCTATCTAACAAGGCCATTAAAATAAATAAAAAATAAATTATCTAAATATTCATATAAATGTTAGTAATAAACTAAATGTATATATCCTACTAAGTAACACTTCGCACTAGACTTAACAATAATAACAATGTATAACAGTGAGGTATAGATTACAGTTGAAAAGATTGAATATTTCTTTGAGGGAGTGAAAGCTGCAGATACAACAATAATAATAGTAACAATAATATTAACAATATTAGTCAAGATAGACCAGATAGATAAAAAGATAATAGATATAAGCAAACAATTTATTAATCCTAATTTTAATATAACACCACGCTAATAGATTTAGTAGTTAAATAGGCTCACTAACTCATACCTATACACCCATGCCTCCCTACAATAACCTGCTAACTCAGCCTTGCCCTGTCTCATCATAGTAACTACTTCCACTCTACTAAGTTTATGTCTACCCAACAACTTTAACCTAATATGTCCCAACACCGAACATTTTCCCAAAAAATGTATCACATCTTCCCTCTCCTTCGTGTTACACATTGAGCAAAATCTTCTTTCATCATTTCTGCCAGGTCGATCATTCAAATATAGAACCCCACATCTTAATTTAAAGAGCCATCGAATATCCCCAAAATTTTCCATTTCCAGTAAGTAATGCATGTTTACTCCTTCTTCCCGCAGTTCTTTGTAGTGTCCACAAAAATTTGATTCGAGTGCCCTGTTCTCAGCCTGACGCTGTATCTCCTCCTTCTTCTTTTCTATCATATTCTCAATCATACTAGGCCAGCTATCTCTCCATTCCCATTCACACCTAACCTCAATACCAAATTTTTCTCCCATGCTCATCCAATCTTTCCACCAGCCACACCTTGCTCTCATCATTTCCTTCAAAAGAAATTTTGGCAACCTATCATTCGTATATCCTAGTATTTTTTTAACATAGTTTTTATGTAAGTTCATCGTATATAGGCTGACTCTAGCAATACCTGTCTCCAAATCTGACATAAAGTTAGAACAATACCTTTAACCAATGTTAATTTATATATTGAGGCAGCCCTCCAGAATTGGAAAAACCACTACCAGGAAATGGAAATCCCCATAGGAAATGACGTATTGTTCTCTTGAGCTAGGATGACCAAGTCGTCCTAGCTCAAGATTCTTATGATCTAGAATTTATGATAAAACGTCTATACAGAGAATATGTAAAATAAGGGGTTACAAGTCAGCATGAAGAAAACAGAATATTTATAAATATATAACAAAAATTTAAATATTTAGATGCTTTCATTGATAAGAACGGCTTGGGAGAAACCGAAATTAAATACCCAATTAATCAACCAATTGACATCGCAAAATTTCCAAAAGGAACAAAAAAGAATAGGGCAAACCATGATTGAATCAGTTCTTTAGTATGGCTTTGAAGTATGGACAATTAATGCAAACCTAAAGAGAAGATTGTTGGCAGTTGAAATGAATTATTTGAGAAGAAGTGCTAGAACATCAAGGCTGAAAAAAAAGAGCAACGAATCTATAAGAAATACCATGAATGCTGCTGAAACGGTCATTGATAGAATAAAACGAAGAGGTTTACAATGGTTTGGACACCTATTGAGAATGCCTGATGAACGTTGGCCCCAAAACTTCACAGATGAAAGCCTCCTGGAAGAAGAAAAAGAAGTAGACCTCAACGCTCATGGAATAAAGGAATTAGAAGAGCGATGGAATAGAGAGATTTGGAGGAGGAGTATGCCTTGGGCCGGGAGGATTGGCGCAGGAAAACGGAATACGGCGATAGACGTCTCCAAAATGTATATATATATATATATATATATATAATATATATATATATATATATATATAAGACACTTCTTCTCATTTCCCTAGTCCTTCCATAACGTCCTCATACCTCATATTAACCTCTTAAGTGGGCAGAAATATTTACAGATATGTATCGTGCGGTGGGGAGAAATTTTTTTTCTGTATATCGGTTAAATTCTTGTAATTGATCATTGGAAAAGGTACATACGACAACATAATGCAAGTTTCTTCAATATTTAGCTATATAAATTTTCATTGTTCATAGGCGGGTAATATGTTTTTGTATAGGGTACTAAAAAGAATACAATATAATTCTTAAAGTAATTGTTACATTTGTTAAAATGTGACAAAATATTTACCAATTTAGTAGTAAAAAAAGTTAGAACCAGCGGCGTTCCTAACAGAATTCAAAACCGCTAATTAATTTGTACATTGAATAAATGTTAAAAAGACTCACCTAAAATGTAAATCGCAATAAATGTAGACGAATCCTGATGGACGTGGGAATTTAAAATGTTTTTGAACAGGAACACACTCGCGAAATGTACATATTTTATAAATTTAATGTCTAATAATTTAATAATGTATGGTATTTACCAAAGCACGGGACAGCACAAAGTGGAGCTTCACAAGAAGGACACATCACATTTGTTTCCTTTCTAATTTTGTGAGAGTTACACACTACACATCTTCTAGAACCATGTTGTCTTGTTCCAATAGGAGGAGTGAATTCTGGAAAATGTCGTCTGGAATTTCCTCCGCATCGAGCCAATCAGAAATTCGGATTTGGCCAAACTTGGAATTCCCAAGTATTTGGACCAATCTCCGAATTTCTTGATGCGTCCGGCACGGCTGCCAGCTCCTGACTGACACGCCTCCGGAGACATACTCACACTTTTGGAAAAATTTCCTGCACTATTGCTGAATTTCTAAAATTACCGCATCCCAAAGAATACACGGGACGCTGTCTACGAAGAAGCTCAGCCACTTTACTGACTGATAGTGGTGGTACTATAACCCACTTGAAAATACACGAATAATAAAAACCAACTAATGTAGCAGAGGGATGCGTAGAACATTCTTTAAAAAATAACATTCACATAGCTTCACAGATTGAAAATGGCCGCAACCAAGTAAAAAATAAAAGTCAAGAAATGGTAAAAGTACTGACACGTCTAACACTAATTTTTCTTTTCCCCTTTAAGGTGTTTAATAAAAGTCCATAAGTAAAGTTTATTCATATATTCTTTTTAACATACTAAACAGCTACAGAAAAAATATTGTACGTTACACGATCCAAAAGTAATTTTACGAGACTCGCAGGGTTTCAGGACTCGCTTCCAGGAAACTTCCTACTCGTCTCAGAAAATATCACTTTTGGAACTTGTTACGTAAATTTCTATTTTGATTTGTAAAAAAAATTTAAATGAGTATTTAGTCTTCTAATACCAAAATCATTCAGAGAATCCAATCCAAAATACTCAGAATGACTTTCAACTCGCCATGGTACGTTAGTAACAAAACACTGCATGATGACTCTGGTATACCGTTCGTTGAAGACGAAATCAGCAGACCAACAAGAAATTATTTAGAACATCTGCCAGCCACCCCAATGAGAAAGCAAGACAACTACACCTCTAATCAGAAGTCAGACGAAGATTGAAGAAACAGTGGTCAACAGACTTTATTCAATAATTTCAATTTGAATTTGAATTTTCATTTTAATTTTAGTTTTAAATTATAATCCTACATTAACTTAGTTTGTTAGTGTTAGTATTGGAAGTGTTAATAGTGGATAATTTCTTTTCTCATGTATTTGCAATACTCTTCTTCTTCTTAAAGTGCCCTCTCCTCAATGGAGGTTGGCTACTACAATTTTAAACTCTTCTCTATCTTCAGCTGTTCTTATTAGCTGTTCAAAATTTAGCCCTGTCCATTCTAGGATGTTTCTGAGCAACGATAGTCTTTTCCTTCCTAGGCTCTCTTTCCCTTGATTTTTTCTTTACTATAAGTTGGGAATATTGGTACTTATTATTTCTCAGTATGTGTCCTAGGTGTAAAGTTTTTCTAACTTTTACTGTATTAAAAAATTCTCTTTCCTTGCCTATTCTATGCAGCACTTCTTCGTTTGAGGTATGCGATGTCCATAAAATTTTGAGTATTCTCCGGTAGATCCACATTTCAAAAGCCTCCAATTCATTTACGGTTGATGTTTTAAGGGTCCACGTTTCAACTGCATATAGAAGAGTCGACCAGGCGTAACATTTTCTGGCCTGTTCTATTCTCGATCTTATTTCTTGATCAGGATTTAGGCTGCTATCGATCTAGCATCCCAGGTACTTAAATCTATTGACCTGTTCTAAAATATGCCCATTTATTGTGCAAGGTTGAGGTACGTTTTGGTTTTTTCGGATTGACTTTCGCATCACTTTTTTTGGTTTTTTTAATGTTTATTTTTATACCAAATTGCTCACAGGTCGAGTTGGTCTTGTCGATGAGTCGTTGTAGACCTAAGTCGGAATCTGCAATTAACACTGTATTATCAGCGTATCTGATACTGTTGATATTTACGCCATTCACTTTGACTCCATCCTTGTAATCCTCCAATGCTTCTTTAAATAAAAACTCGGAGTAAAGATTAAACAGCAGAGGTAACAGAACACATCCTTGTCTAACTCCCCTCCTTATTTCTACTTTTGCGGATGTGGAACCTTCGATCCTAACTCTGGCGTTTTGGTTCCAGTACAAGTTTTTTAGGAATTTGATGTCTTTTCCATCTAAACCGACTTCTTGCAAAACGTTCTAATAGTAGGTCGTGTCTTACTCTATCAAATGCTTTTTCGAAGTCTATAAAGCATATAAATATATCTTTCTGTTGGTCGTAGCATTTTTGGGCGAGAACTAGTAAACTGAACAGGGCTTCTCTCGTTCACATGCCGGCTCTGAATCCAAACTGATCGTCTCCGATGATTGTTTCGCACTTTCTCTAGATACGATTATGTACGATTTTTAGTAGGACTTTTACTGCATGACTCATAAGGCTTATCATACGGAACTCATTGCAGTGTTGTGGGTTTAGCTTTTTTGGTAGTGGGATGAATATAGACTCCAGCTAATCTTGGGATATTTTACCTGTATCATAAATGCGATTGAATAAAAGGACAACTATTTCGATATTTTCTTCGCTGAATATTTTTTTTGCAATACTCACATTTACTAATAGCTTGTAATAGCAGATTGTAAATTTGCAAATTTATTAAAAAAATTAGTATTTAATTATTTTATAAACAAAATGACATACTTTTCTTTATCTAAGGCATGTCGATAAAAATGGGGTACAACGATTTTTGTTTCAGTTATCTATCTTTTTTGTTTATTCTATTTTATTTTTAAATTAATAATAGGCACTTATTTGTTTCTAAGCTAAGCCTAGAAATTATTATATTTTAGGCTAATTTTCGTAAAAAAAGTTTTTTCAAAATATATTTATCTTATATTCATTTATTATAGATGCCTTCGAGAGTGTTCCCAAATTTTATTCAAGCTTTACTGAAGATGGACTTGAAAGTTTAATTATGGAGAATTTAAAAACGCAACAATATCAGATGTGGGATAGAAAAATTCCAATGAATCCAGGACATATAAAAGCCGTACTCATTGAGTATGCCAAATTTCACGCAGTTTCATTAGCAATGAAATACAAAAATCCTGAATTATTCAAAGAATTGACAGAACATGGTCCAGGCAATCCATTTGAGAATATGTTCCAAGGTGATACGGAAAAGGAAAAAAGGGAACAAATGAAAGCGTTTTTTACTCAATATTTATCTGGTGCTTTTAAAGCATTAAGGGATAATGTTGTTTTGACAGAATATGTAAAAAACTTTGAGCAGAATTTATTGCCTGATGCTCTGTTGAAGTTACAAGAACCAGAATACAAACTGGTAATAACACATGGCGACTGTTGGTGTAACAATTTTATGTTTAAATATCAGGTAACAATTTATTTTTGATTGTATACAATTTGTTTAATTCATTGCATTGTAGTGCTTGGTAAACCAATGGCTGCTTCGTGGAAACAACCATATTATATCTAGAATTTACGCTATATTGATACTCATAAATAACATTAAATTAAATTTGCTTCCTATTGTCAAAAGACCATACAAAGTATTAATTATAGTTTATTCGTCTTCCGGGTTTCTACCGTGTCATTTGTGAGTGACCCAAAAGTGGGTTCATCTCGACGTTTCGCTACAATTGTATGTAGCTTCTTCAGGAGAACAAAGAAAAAGAAAAAGAAGACAGGAAGATGGGTAGTTAGCAACGGTAACTCAGTTACTCAACGCATCCAGAGGCGAATACTAACTACCAAGATGGGCATTTGGTCACGGTAACTCAACTACTCAACGCAGCCAGAGGTGAAAACCAAATGCCAGGACAGGGATTCACGTCCAACAGCTCAGAACACTAACGCGTCGAGAGGCGGGGAGTGATTCCTTCGGATTCCTTCGGATTGCCCATCTTGGTAGTTAGTATTCGCCTCTGGATGCGTTGAGTAACTGAGTTACCGTTGCTAACTACCCATCTTCCTGTCTTCTTTTTCTTTTCTTTTTCTTTTTCTTTTTCTTTGTTCTCCTGAAGAAGCTACATACAATTGTAGCGAAACGTCGAGATGAACCCACTTTTGGTCACTCACAAATGACACGGTCCAAACCCGGAAGACGAATAAACTATAATTCTGACTCTGGCCGTGGAAGCCTACGATTACAAAGTATTAATTACTATAACTATAGAAATAATTAATATGTTCTGTTATCAAAAGTTTGATGTTTGCATTATATACTACTTATTTAGCAGGTTCCTTAAGTAACAATCTACACTACTTACGGAGTGATTTCGGCTCTCTTACCGATTCACAGTGCAGAAAATTCGCATTAAAATTTCGGTTGTACAATTGGTTAGGTAAGTGACTTGGCATCTTCTCTAATATTTTTCCACTCTTTTCTGTTTTTGCTTATGGGTTTCGATTCTCTAACTCTCATATTCTTTATCCCTCTGAATACCTAAAACCCCACTAAGAAGTTTTCGTAACTACGTTTTTTAGCAATTCTTTAGTGTCACTGCTGGACGCAAAGCAGCAAAGGCAGCAAGCACTGCCTTCCTCATTTTTGTCCATTGTGCTATCTTAAGCACTTTTCATTAAATTTCTTGACCACGTTCTTGAGATCGTCAGTCCAACGTGTAGGGGGTCTTCTCTACTTCTTTTGTCTATCCTCGGCATCCACTCTAACAATCTTTTCATCCAACTTTCATCACTGATCCGAGCGACGTGTCCGGCCCAGTTCCATTTTAGTGTGGCAATTTGGGAAATTACATGGTAAGTTACATCGTTAAAAAGCCTTTAAAAAAAAGCCTTTTTTATACTCAAACAGTATCGTCTATTCCAGACGCATATAGCAACGTGCGTTCTGCTCAAATATCAAAAGCATTTTTTTCTTCTATATGCTCCATTTATCTACCGCTAGTGCATAATTCTGAGAACTTGACACTGTACTTATTCCAATTTCTATGTAAATGCTTACTCACCTCACTCACTCATTAAGCTCACTCACCTCAATCACTCTCCTAACTTGCTCACTTACTCACCTCAATCACTCACCTCACACACTCACTTTACTCACTCACCTCGCACAGTAACTCACCTCAATCACTTACCCCAATAACTCACCGCACTTATTCACTCACCTTATTCACTAATCTCTCTGATTCATAAAAGCCTAAAACTATATCAGTTTTACTCCAATGACTCTGAAATTTGAACTGAATACTCTTAAAGAGTCATACTACACATTAACGAAGTTATAAAAAATTCAAACGATATCCTAATCCTGTCTTAAAAAGAATCAGATAAATAGAACACATAATATTTTACAACAATACAGATAAAATGAAATAAAACCATGTGTATACCATGATAACTATGGAAGTATAACCAACGTTTAGCAGGCCGTACAAAAAGATAAATACATGTATAGAAGCAGATTAACAATATGGGTTTAGAGTAAAACATTCATGTGCGGGTCATTTGTTTAGGTTAAAGCAAATATTAGAGAAGAAAGCAAATAGTGAAGAATGCTCCATTTACTTGCAGATTTAGCGGAAGCCTATGATAATCACTCTTCATCATCCGTCTTCAGAGCTGCACTAAATAAAATTATTATAGCTAATATTATGATAGCTAACGTTGAGCAATGGATATTGTACTAAACTAGGAAACACCAAATTATGATTATGAATGAAGAAGACACGTAAACAATTACGAAAGAAAGACTAAAAATATTATCTAAATAAACACAATATCTCAGCATAGATTAGGTAAGATACAGAATAAGATGTAAAGATAGAAAAAACTGTAAAAAAGAAACTGACACACAGGAAATAAAAAAAAAATCAGAAATCATGGAAAATATCTAAGCAGGTTAAATAATATATGGCTGCAGAAGAATATCCACAAAGAAAAAAAGATAAATATCTACGATAGGATTGTCAAAACTATCGCACTCTATGATGCAAATACGTGAAAATTGACAGAATAGTATAAAAAACGATTCTTCTTTTTCACGTGCTATCTCCGCTACGAAGGTTGGGTATCATCATGGCAATTTTGACCCTGGAGGCTGCCGCTCGAAACAATTGTATGGAAGTGCAAACAAACCACTCCCTGAGGTTTCTCAACCATGACATTCTTCTCCTACCTATGCTGCGCCTACCTTCAATCTTTCCTTACATAATTAGTTGTAACAGTTGATATTTATTCCCACGTGTAATATGTCCCAGGTATTGTAGTTTCCTCATTTTAACACTCAATACGACCTCCTTTTGTTTGTTCGTCCTGTCTAATACAACTTGGTTAGTTATCTTATCCTTCCAGGAGATTTTTAACATTCTTCGGTACGCCAACATCTCAAATGCCTCCAGCTTACCCATACATTGCTTATTTAGTGTCCACGCCTCCGCCCCATATAGCAGGACCGAGAAAACATAACATTTAAGCATTCGTATTTTCAGCTTTAAGCTTAGGTTTCGGCTACACAACATTTGTTTCATATTGTTAAAGGCACTGCGGGCTTTCTCTATTCTTATTCTCATTTCTCTGGTGTATTCGTTTGACTCGTTAATATTTGTTCCGAGGTAATTGTAATTTTGTACTCGTTCAATGAGATTCTGTCCTACATGTAAGTTGATATTATTGATACGTTTCTTTGTAATTATCATGAATTTGGTCTTCTTTGTATTCAGTGACCGACCAAATTCTTCACTTGCTTCTACCACTTTGTTTAGTAATCTCTGTAGGTCTTCAATATTTTCTGCTATGAGCGCGGTATCATGAGCATATCGGATATTGCAAATGGGTGACCGTTGATCTTTACTCCGGCTTTTTCGTTCATAAGAGCTTTTTTAATAACTTCTTCCGCGTAGACATTGAACAAGGTTGGAGACAACACACAGCCCTGCCGAACACCTCTTTTGGTCTGTATTCTATCTGATATCGAGCTGTTAATTCGTACTGTAGCTTCTTGTTTGTAGTATAGATTCCTTATCACTCGCATGTCCCTTGTATCAATATTTTTATTTTCCAGTATTTGCATCAGTGGCCTATGTTTTACTGTATCAAATGCTTTGTTATAGTCTAGGAAACACACAAATATGTCCTGATTTACGTCTAAGCATCGTTCCTCTCTAGTTCCTAGTCCGTCTCTAAAGCCAAATTGAGAGGGTCCGATGTCAACTTCCAATTTTTTATATATTCTCCGATGAATGATTTTTAAGAAGACCTTTAATATATGACACATGAGACTGATGCTGCGATGTTCCGAGCATTGTCTCGCATTAGACTTTTTGGGTATGTCTATTATTGTTGTTACTAGCCATTCATTAGGTATGATACCAGATTTGTAAATGCTGTTAAATAGTTCCACGATCTTTATTAAGTTGTTGCCTTTGATGAGTTTAATTATGTCTATTGGTAATTCATCTGGGCCTGTAGCCTTCCCGACCTTATTTCTTTAATCGTGCATTCCACTTCATCTCTTGTTATTTCTGGTCCTGTGTCACTATTTATCTACCTTGTCTCTTTGATCTTTAAACAGTTGTTCTATGTACTGTTTCCAGACTCTTAATTTTTCTTCTGTGTACATAATAATGTTTCCACTCTCGTCTACTAATATGTTGTGTCTGTTACTTTGTCTCCTCGTCAACTCTTTGATCTTCCGATGTGCATTAAAGCTGTCGTTTTTATTCTGTAGTTGTTCGATTTCTTCGGATTTTCCCCGTACCAGTTTTATTTAGCTGTGCGTATTTTTAGACGAATTTATTTTTATATCTCTTTATACTTCTGGTTCTTTTGTTTTTCTGTTTTCTATTTTCATCCATTAAGTTCAGTATATCATCTGTCATCCATTCTTTTTTATATTGTTTTATACTTTTATTGAGGTGACTTATGCTTGGTTTCATTAACGCTGTTTTAATGTCTGTCCAATTCTCATTGATGTTGAACGTTGAAAAACGTGTTGAAAAACGATTGACAGTGACTAAAGCCGGATTTATAAACGGACATAAACATAATTTTAGTCTTTAACCATAATCTTATTATATAAGCATAATGTTAAAAGTTAATAAATAAATGTACCCATTTAAAAGCATCCATAATACATAAGACATAAATTTAGTCCTTAAAACGTGACCTTGAAAGTTGGTAACTTTCAACATTTATGAATTAATTATTAAACATTATGGAATTGTTGGAATATGCGCATGCGTTGGTAGAATCATCTGCAGTTTTCTCCTATAAATAGACCTTCTTTATCACGCTTTCTATTTATAGGTCTTACACCAAACCTTCTAACTCTTCTTTGCTTGTTAATAACTATTGCAGATATAGTTGCTACAAGTTGTAAATAAAGTGGGACTGCTGCCATGGCCAAAGCAACTTTTCTATTAATCGTCATATTTAAAATTAATTAATTAATTAAAATTATTTCACTTTTCTATGAATCTAAAGACCAGAAAAAAATCTTCGTGCTCTATAAAAATTTGGTTAGGTTTGTATTTTCTGAAGTAGTTCTTAAATATTATGGTTAGGTATTATGTCTAGTTATAAACCAATCTTAAATCTTATGAATTATGATTGTGGTTGAAGTTATGTTTATGACTTATGATTATGTACTATGTCCTTTTATAAACCTGCCTTAAATGAATAAATGGCGGTATTTTATTGGCACTGGTTTTAACAACCAACTGGTCAGTCAATTTGTTTTGAGTTTTGTCAAAGGGGTGGAATTAGAAACAAACAAGTAAAATAAATTATTGGGGCCAAAATGACAATCGCAAAATATTTTTAACAATAATTAGAATAAGCCATGCATTTCTAAAGCAGCGTAGAAATTAAAATGAGCCACGAAAGAACCAAATTAAGCTAATGGAACTAACATCAAGACGACAATAAGTGCGAGATACTTGAATTTTCTCTATTTAATATTCTAATGAAATTTCGCTAGTGGTTCTGTTGTAATGATGATCAGATAGAGCTAACTATTGGTTGTAGTGATAACCTTGCTGTATGTACCTAGGGTAAGACATAAAGTTTTAAGCATTTTGAGTTCTCTCGTATGATGATGCAAGTGTTTTCTGTCTCCTCTTTTCTTTATGATAAAAAATCTGTTGTTCTTTCTTGATAATTAATGCTTGAATTATAGATACTGTTGTTTTTTTAAGGTACATTGTTGGGTCTGATGCGATTATTTAATATGCCCTATCGTTTAGGATATCTTTTGTTTTTGAATCGTAGTATTCACTATTTATTATTACTACACTTGTCCTCGTTGTAAGTTTTTTTCTATAGGTATTTTCATTTTCTAACTATAATTGTTAAAAATATTTAATTTATTCACATATTTTATTTTAGGATACAAACGATAAAACAGCACCCCAAAGTTTACGAGTTATTGACTGGCAAATGTCTTCTTTTGGGAGTCCTTGTACGGATATTTCCTCTTTTCTTTTAGCAAATAGCTCACAAGAGGTTCTGGACAATTTTGAAACCTACCTTAAAATATATCACGACAAATTGGCTTTGCAGCTTCGCAATTTTAATTTAGATCCCGACGAAGTATTTTCTTTGTCAAGGTTACAAAATCATTTGAAGAAAAGTATATTATTAAGCTTGCTTACGGCGTTTTTAACTATAAAGTTAATGGTAACTGATCCTGAACCAGACCACCTAGAAGCCGTTGATAAATCTGCTGATTCTGAAGCACCACAATTAGAAGAGTATAGTAGGAGAATAAAAATTGTGGTTAGGTTTATGGTTAAAAATAAATATTTGTAATAAGCATTTTGTAAAGTATATGATATTAAAAAAGGAATAAAAAAGGTACAAGATATTAAAAAAGGATTTAATAAATATATAGGTTGTGAAAATGAAGATCTTTTGACAAATTTTTAAATATATAATAATTAGTACAAATTAAATTTACAAAGAGAAACAAAAATATACTGTCAACACAAGAGACAATAAATTAATGGCAGTTTATACATTTACAATTAGAATTGTTATACACTAGGGTGGAGCGAAAAAATCGATATTTTTTTTTTGACATGTAATACCTGCGAAAAGTTGACCCTACCTATAGTATACTTGCTGTTAAAATTTCAGTAGAAAATAAAAATATCTTCAGGGTTCTACCGCGCATCAAAAAAAGAAAAAAATCAAGAAAAATCGATTTTATTTATTTTTACTTTTAATAAATAAAAAAAGCTGCTTTTATTGATGTTAATTATTTTCTATTATTTGATTAAACATAATGTTATTAGAGCTCTATCTGTCACCCAAGTAAATATTTTGAGCAATATTTTTGGAAATAAAACAGATCAAAAATCTCATCAAATAATGTTCAATATTCGTTTTACAGTTAATTTTTATTAAATAAAGCTACTCCACTAGTAAAGGCTTTCCGTGAAATAATATTTTCATGTAAAACGTTTTTTGACCTGTTGCTAGATCGGTTCGACAAAGTAAAAGGGACGAAGTTAGCTCAATCTTTAGTCCCACTGTGATAGCCTTGGACATAAGATCATTATTGTAATAATTAATCGGTACGTAATGAGTTTGCCAGTGAAAGACACTATGGGCACTACTAATTGTCCTATATTTGGTGCACCTGCGAATATACCTTATAATGTTTTGCCAACTATAGAAGATGTTATGAAGCGGTATCTACTTATTAGAAATGAACTAAAACGTATGTTATTTCTCAATTAGTTACCAGTGAAATCGAAGCTATCTGGGAAAAAGCCTCAGTTCCCATTGTATCAAGCAATCGTATTGTTCGATTAATTCGTGATATCCTAAGTAAGTATCAAACTCTTATCAGATATCCAAAACAAAAACGTAATGAGACTTATAATTTAAGAGTAAAAAAGTTCAGGCAGAAAGGATAAAACTCTGTGCCAAGAAAAGGTTGGAGATAAACTTCATTGCAAGATAAAAACCGAAGAACACATTTCGTTACTTGAAGAACCAGGTTTTAAATATCTAAATCACATTACTCCAACGTCAGGTACAGGAAGACATATTGCCACATCTATACTAATTTTTTTGAAGAATCCGGTATTGGCACAGGTAATCTTTTAGTAGTAGGCTGCGACGGTACAGCAGTCAAAACTGGGAGGAAGAATGGGATTTTACGGTTTTTAGAGACAGAACTGAAACGTCCTCTGCAGTGGTCAATTTGTCTGTTACATATGAATGAATTGTTCCTCCGGCATATCTTTCAATCTCTCGATAGAGAAACTTTGGGACCTCGTAAATACTCTGGCAAAATGGGTAAACTATTTAAGTCTTGCGAAAATTTGCCAGTAATCCATTTTGTTCCTATTCATACCACTCTAACACAATTAGATGCTGCAGTTATAAGGGACCTTAGCAGTGATCAAAAGTACTTATACGAAATTTGTCATTTGGTTTCTAGTGGAAAGTGCTTGATAGATTTAGCAACTCGTAATCCGGGTAAATTATCACATGCACGATGGGTTACAAAGGCAAATCATATATTGCGTGTTTACGTCGGAATGAATATATGTCTTTGATTTTAAGATCTTTGGCTAAATTTGTGGTAAAAGTTTATGCGCCAGTGTGATTTATTATTAAAACTAAGCCATCGTGTAGTGAAGGAGCAAGACACGTCTTTAAAATGATTCAATTGGCACTTTTGATCCTGTTATCAAAAGAAATTCGTATTTTTGTCATCCGGAGAACCTTCTCCTAGCAATGCTTTTTGATGAAAGTCCTTCCATAAGACAACTTGCCTTACGCAGAATGTTGAAGACGCGCACAAAAATACCTACTGTGGACACGAATGTAAGATAATTTTTAATTCCTGATTTAAATTTCAATGCTGGTGAAGATTATGAACTTATTGATTGGTAAAATTGCTCTGTTACAATTCCTCCCCTTTTATCTACTACAACTGATAAGGATATTAGAAAATGTTTTAATGGTGAAAAAATTTTTCCAACTAATTTTTTGTAATTTTCTTTTCATACTCAAGCAGTAGAAAGATGTATGAAGGTTGTAACAAAAGCTTCCAATTCTGTCCTCGACTATGACTCCAGAGATGGATTTGTTCGAGCAAGGATTCATTCAAAAGCTATATTACCTCGATTTAACACTAAGGCGTAATATAGTGCATACATTGTTTAGGAATTTAAAGACAAGTAGCAGTTTAATTTCCATTTAATAGTCTAGATAATAATATTTGGTTGAACTTTTTTTTTAAGAGAACCTGTTTATTTAGTAAACGGTTTGTTTTCTATATTAGAGATTTTTATTTTTTTCTATATTAAAAGTTTTTATAAAATAAGGGATTTGTATTTTCTTGTCTTTTTAAATGTAGAAGACTTTTTGAAACTATAAAAGTTGGTAAAAAGCCTAATAGTCATTAATATATTTAGCTTCCGCGCTATTACATTACGTATTACATTACATATTACATTTTTTTTTGTTTCACCCTGTAAAACCCTGAAGATGAAATAGTAGAAAAAAAAACATGGTACTCCTCTATGCAGTAAGCAACATATCCGCGCTATTACATTAAACAAAATTTTATTATTTTTTTTTTGTTTCACCCTGTAGAACCCTGAAGATGAAATGGTAAAAAAAAATTTAAAAAACATGGTACTCCTCTATTGCACTAAGCAACTTTTCCGCGCTATTCATTTCGAATAAAAAATAAAAAAAAATTCTTCATGTTTCACTCCACCCTATTATGTCCTCAAGCGCGACTAGTACGTGCTCGAGACGCATCGGCCCGCCCCTCATTTTTTCTTATTGGTTCCTGACCTGGAAATCCCTATTTATCGCTACATCAGCGTGTATAAAAATAGGCGATTTTCAGGTCAACCAGGTCAGTCCTTCACGGGCTCTCTGAGAGTTTAGTGCTCTCGGGGCTCTGCTTCCTTTTAGCTTTCCATACTCTGTGGCTAAGTACTTATTCCACAACAATATTTGGTGTTTTATTTCGACTACTATTTAGTCATGTAAGAAATATCTTGCCTTTGTCAAGGCAAGTCACCAAAAAAGACAACATGATGGTTTATTTCAACGAAGAATTTTCGTCATGTAAGAAATAACTCGTCTTTCTTAAGACGAGTCATCAGATGAGAAAACTTTTTACAAGTCCATAACCTATAAGTGGACTTGGGTAATGGGTAATTTTATGTAATTTTATGTATGTAATATGTAATTTTTTTATAATTTTATTTATATAATAGTCATATTACTTTGTCCTAAGTCTAAACATATATTTAATAGATGGTTTTTAAAAGTCAAATTGGGTACCATATTTAGCACGCACATCTGATTTAAACTTTTGGAATTTCGAAAAAATCTCGTTTACTTCCAAATCGAGGCATCCATTTTTTGGATGACGGTTTTTAAGTATTCGAAACAAAATTCAGAAAAATGTCTAAATCTGTGCCTTCTATGATATTTCTAGACAAACAGATAGTGAATTGGACCTACAATAGAAATCTAAAATTGCATTCCACGACATTTCGTGAATGGGTTTCTTATACTCAATTATTATAGTGCCTCTAATATTCAGTTATACGTATTTCGTCCGAACAACACTTATCAGAGCGACTGGTGTAAAAGCTCTCAACTTGAAAACAAATATTTTTTGTTTTTTTATTTTAAATCACTATTGGTACAGAACGTTCAGCTGCCTGTGGGTGGCATGATAACTTTGGTATCTGTAAAATATATGACTGATATAAGTATTGACAAGAGTTTGCAAAAGGAGAAATTTTGATTCGCAGTAAGAATTTAATAATACATATATATATATATATATATATTTATATATATATATATATATATATATACATATATATATATATTAATATATATATATACATATATAATATATATATATAATATATATATATATATATATATCTATAAAAATATCAAGGACAGTAACGGGCTACTGGTAAACAACAGACAGTTGAAGGTAACCGGGAACGACCCAATACTAAGGAAGCAATAAAAAACGGTGCTTCAAAGTGAGTATCTTTTATTAAAAGTCTATCCATCATCCATCAGCATAATGATACACTTAGTTCTTCAACAGAAGGTATGTATACATACATCTTACCAGAGTGTTGACCACTATATACAACACTAAATACAAACCGAATAATTTTTTAAACATGATATGCTCATATAGAACGGGACCTATATACATATATATATATATAATATATATATATATATATTATATATATAATATATATATATTTATTTATTTTTAAACTTTAATTGTGATTTTAATATGAAATTCAACAAGTCTAATAACGTGACTGAAGAAAGGTAGTGTCTTATACCAAACAAAAAGAAGAAGTAATTAAGACAGGTCCGTATCGATAAGTGACAGTCGATACGACACATGACTTAATTAACAATTGTCTTGTCAAAAATAATGCCGGCCACATTGTGATATTAAAATAAACAAATTTGATTATTTCATTTAAGCTTTGTTTGCCATCTTCCTCTAATTAGAGATGCGTTTGGTTTGTGTTTGAAAACAATGTGTAGTTCCACATTACAATAATTTAAACTAAAAATAACATCTTTAATTGTAAAGAATGTTTTTCCATTCAGCAAGTTCTGATGAAGCCCAAAATTATATGGCGAAAGCTTGACTTTTAATAAAAGACACTCACTTTGAAGCACCCGTTTTTATTGCTTCCTTAGTATTGGGTCGTTCCCGGTTACCTTCAACTGTCTGTTATATATATATATATATAATATATATATATATATATATATATATATATATATATAATATATATAATATATATATATATCTTGGGCACAAAATTAAAGCCCTTCCCCCTTTTTAAATTCAATGTTTGTTTCGTCCCTTCTAAGTATTTTCTGTTTTAGTGTGTTTAAATTATCCTTAATTGATTGTATTTTAATATTTTATTTACTTGACTTTCCAATAATTAACTCATTGCCAATAGAACTTTATTAAAGTAATTTGATAACTACAAGTTGGAAAATAATTGCACACCCACACAATTTTTACATCTAAACTTATTCATTGTCATAAAACTGTCACCTTCATAAAACAATTACTCAATAAATAACACACATTTCAAAAATATATCTCTCGAATAAGT